CCTAAAAGAATAAATAAAGAGCCAGGAACACTGAAAAGAATGAAGTCCAGGCACAAAGCATGTATGAGTTTAACGTAAGTGAAGGAAAAAATACAATTCAATAATTTCAGTTGCCACAACGATGTAAAAAAGAGGGGAAGACAGAAGACATCAGTCTGTTTGTAATCTGGGGATGGAAGAGGGGTTCGTAGCATGACAATATACCAGATAAACTGTGGCATGGCTAGACAGTCCACTAAAAATAAATGAACTATCAAGCCATAAAGAGACAGAGGAATCTTAAATGCATATTGCTAAGTGAAAGAAGCCAATTTGAAAAGGCGACATACTATATGATTCCACCTGGAAGGCATTCTACAGAAGCAGTAAAATGATCAACGGTTGCCAGGGATTAGGAGGTAGAGTGGGAGATGAACAGGTGGAGCAGAGGTTTCTTAAACCAGTGAAACTATGATAACTACATTGGTGGACAGGTCATTATACATTTATCGGAATCCACAGAACACACAACACAAGAGTAAAGCTTAATGTAAACTCTGAATTTCGAGTGATAAAAATGTGTCACTGTAGGCTGGTTGATTATAACAAACGTATCCCTTTGGTGGACCCCAGTGCAGGATGTTCACACTGGGGGAGGCTGTGGGTGTGTGGGGGCAGAAGATAAATGGGCACTCTTTGTACTTTCTGCTCAATTTTAGCTGTGAAGCTAAAATGTCTCTAAAATATAAAATCTATTTTAAACAACAAAATAAGAAATGTATTAAGGGGCAAAAATCTTCACTATTGCTTTCTTTAAAATGATGGCTTGAGCCCAGGAGTTCAAGGTTGCAGTGAGCTATGACTGTGCCACTGCACTCCAGCATGGGCAACAGAGCCAAGATCCTCTCTTAAAATGTATGTATTTTATTTTACTGATACATATTAGATGTACATATTTCCAGGGTACAAGTGATAATTTGATACATTCATATAATCAAATCAGGGTAACTGGGATACCCATAATCCTACATATTTACATTTTCTCTATACTAGGAATATTCGAAATTCTTCTCTTCTAGCCTTTTTTTTTTTTTTTTTTTAAGTAGAGGGGAGGTCTATGTTGCCCAGGCTGGTCTTGAACTCCTGAGTTCAAGCATCCTCACCTCCACCTCCAAGTGCTGGGACTACAGGCACATGCCACTGCACCCGGCTAACTTTTGGGACTTTTAGAGACGCGGGGTTTCACCACGTTGCCCAGGCTGGTTTCAAACTCCTGAGGCTCAAGTGATCCGCTGGCCTTGGCCTCTCAAAGTGCTGGGATTATAGGGGTGGGACATTGCACTCAGGCCCTCTTCTAGTTATTCTGAAATGTACAATTCAAGGCCAGGTGCAGTGGCCTGCGTATGTAGTCCCAGCTACTTGGAAGGCTAAGGCAGGAGACTCTCTTGAGCCCAGGAGGTGGAGGTTGCAGTGAGCCAAGATTGCACAACTGCACTCCATCCTGGATAATAAGAATAAACCTCTGTCTCAAAAAAAAAAGAAGTGTATAATTCATGAATGCTAACTAGAGTCATTTTACAGATCAGGTTTTTTTTAAAACAGAGTTAAAAAAAGAACTAAGATTCTAAATATTCATCAATAGGTAATATAGGTAATTTTGTTTAAAAAAAAGGATAAATTATGATACATCCATATTATTTACAGTTAAAAAATTAGATAACTGGAGATATACTGAGATGAAACAGTCCCAGATGTACTTATGAGCAGACTGATAACAGTTCACATTTTGTGGAAAACAATTACATATTATGCATTAAGTACTGTTTGAATTTTCTACAATAGCATTTATTTTTATAATCACAAAGTAACTTTATAAGCTTTCAGTAACCCTAAGAGGCAGAACTCTGAACAGCCACTTTGAAAAGAAAAGAAGCACAAGAAAAGCCAGGGCTCTCCAGACATCCTTATACACAATTTTTTAGTATCTGCTAGAAATATGTCCTAAATCACTTATTTCTACTTCACGTCGGAATAAATGCTGGACAACCAAGACTTCTACATTCTTCCAAAACTGAGACACCTAAATTTTCAATAGAGTAATTGTTAAACATACTGATATATCCATATGATAAATATTACACCTAGTTATTTAAAACCTTTATAAGCAGTTTTAATAACATGGGAACTGCTTAGGAAGACCATACACACATACACACACACACAGATAATCTATCATCTCACTCATATAAATACGTACAAAAAAAATTGGAAGAAATACCCCAAAGTGTTTAATGGTTATCACCACTGGGTGATGGAATAAGAGGTGAATGTTTTTTATTCTTTATACTTTCATCTATGAACTTTCAACAATATGTAAATGCTACTTTTAGGTAAGTGTTTTGTTGTTTTTGTAGTTTTGTTTATTTCCCAGAGTAGAAATGATTGCTCACTACTGATTACAAAATAATACATTTCTACAAAGCCGTCCTCATCCTGCCTTCTCTCTAGTGGACTTGGTTCACTCTAAGTGCTCCGTGTTTACTCAGTTAATAAATGGAAAGACAGATGAATTCTATAAAGTCAATCCTTTTTTACCCCATCTAAGGAAAACCCCTAGGTCCCATGCACCCCGAGGCCCTTCCACCCTAACAACTTGATTTCCCTGAAAAGTATGTCTGGAAGCCTTTCCATGACAAAGTAAATAAATCCCAATATTCTTCTTCAATTTTCATAATGTGAATGCTACCGATGAGCCCTGGCTTAGTTCATCTGTCTTCCATTGCTTGACACTGACAGGTTATTTCCACGGGTTTGCTGTGCAGACACTTGAGGTTCAGATCCTGCAGCGGCCATTGGGGGCAGGGGAGTTGGGGCCTCCGGCTTGAGTTGGGCTCTGGAGGAAGACAAGGAACCTGTTCCTAGCGCTCAGCAGGACCCTGCGACAGCTGTGGCTGTGGCTACCGCCAGGAAAGGGACAGAGAGGCAGGATAAGGTCAGAACTGCTGGGGCTGGGGCGGAGACGGCTGCTCCCAGGTCTGGGTGCGCCCAGGCGCCTCCCCCCGCGGCCAGTCCCACCTCCACCTCCGCTGCTGCTCCACAGCAGGAGGGCGCAGCCCCAGCCCCCACAGGGCTAGGGACCCGTGTACGGGGAGCAGGCCGGGTGCCCCAGGATGAACTTGAAGCCCAGCACTACCAGTTTCCAGCTGTGGGAAGGGTTGGTGGCAAGAGGGACCTGGAAGCAGCACTGGGCCCGAGGGCAGAGATCAAGGATGTCTCCCTAAGGGTGGCCCTGCGTACTGGCTGCCATCTCCAGGTCAGCGGGGGCCACGTTTGCGCCCGGAACATCAGCGTGCCCCCAGAGAGCTTGACCCAAAGCATCCTCCAATTCCCAAGAGAATTGCCCCCGGTGCTTGGGCCCCCTGGGAAGCCCTGCTGGCAGAAGCAGTAGGGGCCAGCACCCCAGGCTGATCGGGGTCTGGGATCCGGGCCTGCGTCCAGACTGCCTTCACGCTGGGGCTCCTCTGGCTTTTCTTTGGTATTCCAGCTCTCCAGTTCTGAAACCAAACCTGGATTCGTGGCTCAGAAGTCCGTTTTTCTGGCCAGTTCTTCTCCGACGGTAATTCCAGGAAAAAGGTCCGTTTCAAAGGCCTCAGTAAGAATTGTGTATTGACATCTGTCAAATCTGGTCCTCCTATGCCTCTGGCCTGGCTCAAGTGTGTCTCTGCCATAAGCTGAGCTCGCTGTCCACTGGGAGCCTCAGTGGACAGGTTAGTTTTTTTAACGTTTAAAGTTTTAACCAACTTTAACAATTAACAATTGTTTAAACAATTGTAATCAGGGCTTACAATAAAACTGTAAATTTATTTTATAGGCAATATCACTGTTTAAAAACCAATTAACTTTCCATATTCTGTTCTTTTCTTCTGTGTCTATGAAAAATAATATTAAAATTAAATTCTGACTCCAAAGACTCCAATAAGTAATACAACAGGAAAAGTGACTAATAAACTTTAAACTGTAATAACAGAGAGATAGTAGCTAACAGGCTGAATGAACACAGCCTGAGAAATAAGTGAGATTATGACCCACGAGTGAAGCATCAGCAAACCTGGATACTACCTGTGGTTCCACCACTCACTATCTGTGCTACTTTTACAACCCACTGACTCTTTGAACTATGGGATGCCATCTGCAAAACAGAGACAAAATCTTCCTGTTACTATGAACATTGAATGATACAGGAGTATGAAAAGCATTTTAGTACAATGCTGGCATAAAGGTTCAAAAAATGCTCAGTATTCTTAATATTCAGTTCCGAGTACAATTTAAGATGGACATCGTGACCAACTGAAACACACTTAGGAGGACAACAGGAGATGAAAAGAGACCCCAAAATAAAACCATCTGAAATGGCACCTGAAGCAACTAGCTTGGACTCAGACAGTAAAAAGGAGATACAATGACTGAACATTTAAAGGACACATATGGAAGCAAAGTTATTTAGCGAAGTTCAGGAAAACAAAGCTTTTACAAAGGGAGGCAGATTTTCAGTGCTCTGTAAGAAAGAACATGTTCAAAAATGGAATAGATCGCAGGGTGCAGTGGCTCACGCCTGTAATCCCAACACTTCAGGAGGCCGAGGTAGGTGGATCACCTGAAGTCAGGAGCTTCAGACCAGCCTGGCCAACATGGCAAAAACCCATCTCTACTAAAAATACAAAAATCAGCTGGGTGTGGTAACGGGCACCTATAATCTCCACTATTCAGGAGGCTGGGGCTGGAGAATCACTTGAACCCAGGAGGCAGAGTGCAGTGAGCCCAGATCGTGCCACTGCACTCCAGCTTGGGCAACAGAGCAAGACTCCATCTCAAAAAATAATAATAAATTTTAAAACTCTTCAAATTATTTATCTTAAAATATAGAAGAAATATAATACATATAGAAACTTTTAGCTTCAAAGGTACCTTTAAAATCTTACATTAAACAAGAAAGGTAGAAGAAAAAGTGCTCTAAGACTTACACTTTGCTTCTGACAGATTTTGATTGGGTGACCAGACCAACATGCCAAGATTGTCCCGTTCTTGACTGCGTCTTGCCAGTTTGGCTTGAGAGAAAGAAAAAAGAAAAATCTCATTAAAATTTAACACATATAATAAGCAATAAGTAACAATACCTTTTAATGTATTGTTGAATACACCCACCTTTTACCTGTATCTGTACCAATGGGACCACAAACTTAACCTCAGAGTGAGGATGGAGATGGGGGAGGCGACAGAGTCTGCTGAAACATTTCTACTTGCAAGTCCTTTCCTACTTTTACTGATTTTACAGTATGCTGCTCTGCTTTTAGACATGAGACATCCAAAAAGAAATCCACACATGCCAAGGTGCTCAAAGGTTCTTTTAAAATGTTAATTCTTCACGTGTGCTTGCAGCACCCTTACCCTTCTCTGCCTGAGTAACCTTTTAGTGACTTGGCAATAGAAATTCCAAAATTCTTCTAACAGCATTATTAAAGAATAACCATTTAAAAAGTTTAACCTGAAAGTAAACTTCTAAAATGCATACTAATTCTTAAAAATCTGTGATGCAAAATAGTAGGCCAAAACGTTTAAAAGTGCCAAGGGTGGAGCTCACATGTATTAGTGAATTAACCGCAAGCAACTGTCATCTACTACAATACACATACCTAAAACATTATCTTCACAAGGCAAAGACTCAAGAAACAGGAGGTTCAGTGACCATACCTTCACAATGCTTAGGCCCAAACTTATTCATTCTAAAGGTTAATTTTGGCCACTTTTTTTCCTTTAAATAAACTACTCTGAAAATATGATGAAAGTTATGGAACCTAAACTCTAAGGGGAAAAATGCAACTAAATATAACATACAACCTACTATAAACAAAAATCTAGGAAACCCACAGTCTGGTTAACGAATTTCTTCTTTTATGATACCGCCAGATCTTCCATCTTTAATTTTGTCTACCAATGTGTTCTAGGTTTTATAAAGAGGAAATTTTACATTTTTAGTAAAATCTGAGAGGCAGTTACTTTAAAGAACCATAACAGAATAGTGAAAAGGACCCAAAGTGTGAACAGTATGAATTAGGTAAAATTAAAAGTTGAATTTATGTTGCAGATGGGAAGAGGATGTAGATGAGAAAGAAATATGACAAAAAAGATGTAGTGACCATCTTTGAATTTACCCTTTTTTGAGACAGAGTCTTAGTCACCCAGGCTCAGCTCACTGCAACCTCTGCCTCCCAGGTTCAAGTGATTCTCCTGCCTCAGCCTCTCGAGTAGCTGGGACTACAGGCGTGCACCACCACACCCAGCTAATTTTTTATTTTTAGTAGAGATGGAGGTTTCACCATATTGGCCAGGCTGGTCTCGAACTCCTGACCTCATGATCTGCCCACCTCGGCCTCCCAAAGTGCTGGGGTTACAGGTGTGAGTCACTGCGCCCAGCACAAGTATACCTTTTTTTTTTTGAGACGGAGTCTCGCTCTGTCATCCAGGCTGGAGTGCAGTGGCCGGATCTCAGCTCACTGCAAGCTCCGCCTCCCGGATTTACGCCATTCTCCTGCCTCAGCCTCCCAAGTAGCTGGGACTACAGGCGCCCGCCGCCTCGCCCGGCTAGTTTTTTGTATTTTTTAGTAGAGACAGGGTTTCACCGTGTTAGCCAGGATGGTCTCGATCTCCTGACCTCGTGATCCGCCCGTCTCGGTCTCCCAAAGTGCTGGGATTATAGGCTTGAGCCACTGCGCCCGGCCTACCTTTTTTACAGATATATACATAGTTCTGACTTTCAGAACAATGCTAATGCTACACATAACCTAAAACAAAAGTCATCAAAAGTATGTGTGGGGAGGGACCCCCAACGGAATACAAAGACAAATGAGTCCTGCTATATTTCCAATAGAAGTCTAAAGTACAACAAAAATAAAGGTATCCACAGTGGAAAGGTACAATCAAAACTGCATGACTGTCTGTGTAGAAAATCTACATTTTGTAGAATCTACAAAATGGCACTAGAATAAATGAGTTTAGTAAGGTTGTAAGAAATAATATTAATAGTAAAATCAATTCTATTTATATATACCAGCAATTAAAAAATCAAAATTAAAGATCATTAGCATCAAATATGAAATAACTTAGGGATAAAGTAAGATGTGTACGTTGAAAACTATAAAACACTGCTGAGAGAAACTAAAGATGATCTAAGAAAATGAAGAAATATATCATAGATATAGACTCATTATTAAGAAGGCATTCTTCCCAAACTGCTCTAAAGATTCAATGCAACCCCAATCAAAACTGTAGCACATTCTTTTGCAGTAATTGATAAATATTCTACAATTCATAAAGAAAGGCAAGGTAACTGAGACAGTCAACGCATTTTGAAAAAGAGCAAAGTTGGAAGATTTACACTATCTAAATCAAGACTAATTATAAAAAATCAGTAATCAAAAATGTATGGTATTGGCATAAAGATAGAGAAATAGGCCGGGCGCGGTGGCTCACACCTGTAATCCCAGCACTTTGAGAGACCGAGGTGGGTGGATCACGAGGTCAGGGGATCGAGACCATCCTGGCTAACACAGTGAAACCCCGTCTCTACTAAAAATACAAAAAATTAGCCGGGGGTCATGGTGGGCTCCTTAGTACCAGCTACTCGGGAGGCTGAGGCAGGAGAATGGCGTGAACCTGGGAGGCGGAGCTTGCAGTGAACTGAGATCGCGCCACTGCACTCCAGCCTGGGAGGCAGAGTGAGACTCCGTCTCAAAAAAAAAAAAAGAGAGAGAAATAAATGGAATAGAATCCAAAAACAGAACCACACATACAGGATCAAATGATTTTCCATAAAGGCATGAAGGCAAAACCAAACCAAAAATAATAATCTTTTCAACAAATGATGCAGGAACAAATGAATACTCACATGCAAAAACAAAACATTTTTTAAAAAATTAATTTGGATCCATACCTCAAAATTATCTCAAAACAGACGACAGAACTAAATGTAAAACTCAAAAATTATAGAATTTCTAGAGAAAAACACACGGAAATCTTTTTGACCTTGGGGTAGGAAAGGACATCTTAGATACAATACCAAAAGCACAATCCACCAAACATTTTTTCATGGTATATTATACTTAAGTAAAATTTTAAAACTTTTACTCTGCAAAAGGCACTGTTGAGATACACTGCAGACTGTAAGAAAATATTTGCATATCGCAAATGCAACAAAGGACTTGTATCCAGAATACATAAAGAACTTTCAAAGTCAACAATAAGGAAAATGACACAATTTTTTTTTAAAAAAAGGACAAACGATTTGAACAGTCACTTCACCAAAGTAGATATAAAGGTGGCATATTAGATGAAAAAATGCTCTACATCTTTAGCCATTAGAAAAATGTGAATTAAAGCCATGATGAGAAACCATGATTTACCTGTTAGGGTGTCTAAAATAAAAGGCATCAACAATACAAAGAGCTGACAAGAACGGGAACAACTGAAATTCTCATACACTACTGGTGTAAATGCAAAATTATAAAGCCATTCTGGGAAAATTTTGCAGTTTTTTACAAAGACATAATTATAGTTACCAAATGACTGATCTAGCAACCCCACTGTTCAGCCATATACCCTACAGAATTAGCATTATGTTCACAGCAAAACCTGCACACAGGCTGGGAGCAGTGACTCACATCTGTAATCCCAGCACTTTGGGAAGCTGAGGCGGGTGGATCACCTGAGGTCAGGAGACCAGCCTGACCAATATTGTCAAATCCCATCTCTACTACAAATACAAAAATTAGCCAGGCATGGTGGTGTGTGCCTGTAGACTCAGCCACTCGGAAGTCTGAGGCAGGAGAAATGCTTGAACCCCGGAGGTGGAGGTTGCAGTGAGCCAAGATCGCGCCACTGCACTCCAGCCTGGGCGCCAGAGCGAGACTCAGTGCCAAAAACAAAAACAAACAAACAAAAAACAAAAAAACAAAACAAAACAAAAAAAACCATCCGGCACACACAGGCAGCGTTATTCACAATCATCAAAAACTGTGAAATATTCAGATGTTCTTCCATGGGCAAATGGATAAACCAACTGTAGTACACCCATATACTGGAACAGTATACAGCAATAAAAATAGTGAACTACTAATATATGCAACAACACAGACCTATCTCCAAAGCATTACAGTGAGTGAGAGAAGTCAGTACAAGTTCATTCATATGACACTCTGCAAAAGTACAGGGATAACGAATAGATCCAGGGTTTCCAGGGGCTAGAAGTGTGAGGAAGGTTACGGAAAGTGTGGAGAGCCCGCGCGTGCGCTCACGGCCGGGTGAATCTGGCCACTTTTGGCGCCCGAGCCGCGAGGCGGCGGATCACGAGTCAGGAAGATCGGCCATCCTGCTAACACGGTGAACCCCGCTGCTACTCAATACAAATAAATTAGACCGGGCGCCAGTGGCGGGCGCCTGTAATACCCAGTCTCGGAGGCTAGGCAGGAGATGCGCCAAATCTGGGAGGTGAGCTTGCAGTGAGCAGATCGCGCACTGCACTCCAGCCTGGGCGACGAGTGGAAGACTTCGCCTCAAAAAAAAAAAAGAAAAAAAAAAAAGAAAGTGTGAGGAGAGTTTTTGGAGAGACTGGAGCTCTTTGGTTCCTAATTAGTGGGGTGTTAGTGTGAACTCCAGTATGGCCCCCAGTCCATTTGCTTCTTCTGTGATGTTCAGTCCACCCATGATTAAACCATGTCTGAAAACATTCAATTGAGGAATTCCAGGGAAACAGTTCCTGAATTTTACATTGTGCCCATTCTGATTACCATGCTGAAATCTCGTGCCATCCCTCCTGGGACGTGCATCATTCCTTTGTGCACTACGGTCCCCTCTGGAGGTACTATGTGCCCTCAGTAACTCGGCCATCTTAGTTTACCAGCTGGACCGGTCACCGCATTGCACTTGCATCAAGTCCCCATATTTTACTTACTAACAACCCCAAGTAGTGCTGGTGATGTTGGCATATTGCTATAATTGTTCTATTTATTATTATTTTTTCTGTTGATCTCTCAGTGTGTCCTAATTATAAAGT